CCAACTGTCCTGTGGTTTGATGACCATGTACATTTGTGTGTCATCAGCATAGCAATGATAGCGAAGACTATGGCAACGACAAATCTCTCCGATCGGATTGGAGTACAGGTAATATTGTTGTGGTTCTTACACCGACCCTTGAGGAACCCCGAAATCTAGTACTTTGTCCTGTGAGGTTGTAGATCCGATGGCAACACTCTGTCGTCGTTCACTCAGATAATACTGTATCCAGCATGGTGCGGTTTCAGTTACTCCATAAGAGTAGCTGTCAAAACCAGCATGATAAGCACCGCTTTGCACTTGTTATCTAATGCAGAAGCTACGTCATTATGTACACGTAGTGTCCCATGCGGTAGGTCGATTGCAGGTTGTCATGGATATTGTTTGCATGGAGAACCTATAAACGCCGGGACACAACCTTCTCCAAGATTTTAGACAGATGAGGCAGATTTGATAATTGGCGGTAGTTCTTCAACTCTTCATTGTCCATTCCAGGCTTCTTCAATATGGTCTAACATGTTCCTTCTTGAAACACAATGGAACCTTTGACTCAGTCAATGATTTGTTCATGATTGAGGTAATCAAGGGAAGTAGTGCTTCAATACATTGATTTAATAGGTATGTAGGTAGTGGATCAAGCTCACAAGACTTCGATTGTGAGGACATGATGATATTGCGCAACTCGCCCACGGTTGTTGGTGAGAGCTTTGTCAAAGGTTCCCCATCAAATTTAATGTCAGCAGTCATGACAAAGATATTATTGTCAGCAGTAGAGTTCACTTCCGATATATTTTTCCTGATAGAGTTGATTTTATTCAGAAAGTAATTACTGAACTTGTTTTACAAGTGTTTTTCAGAATTACAGCATGGCAGGATAATTTCACCTTTCTGACCCACTAGGTTTTTGGTGAGTCTAAAAAGCTGTCTATGGTCCTTACCACATTCTTCAATTCTTTCGAGATAATAAGCCTTCTTTGACTGAATGAGAAGTGAACCAACTAGTCGACATTGTTCCCTTTAAATGTGTTTGTGAATGGTTAATTTGGTCCTTCGCCACTGCCTCTCTGCTTTACTACAGTTCTGTTTTTCTAAGCGGATATTTTCATTATACCACTGGGCATTCGGGCACCGAGCGTCACTTTAAGTTTAAGGACACTCCATTCAGAGGAATAACTGACTTACAGTGATCAGCTGTTGTTGGCTTGATGACATGTATATTCTCGTACGATACTGATGATGTCGTGTTGAAGTATCGTAATGGATCTATTTAGGTGAACCTAATTGCGTTTAAATGTGTTTAAGAATGTGCGCGCGTTTTTCGTTAATCAAGGGGCCAAAACACTGCCAAATGAAGTCTAGCCGTGCCTGTAATGCATTAAACTCTGAAGACAATCGGATAATATTTGTGAGAGTTAATAAACAGAAACTGCAGATACTGATGTTTTTCGTTATGCAAGGGGCCATAACTCCGCCAAATAAAGTCATCGTACTTGGCCGGACCCTTAAGGCATTTATTCATGAGACCAAGTTTGACGAAAATCGGTTAACATTTGTTGTAGTTATTGCAAGGAAACGAAGCGTGACAGACAGACAGACAGACAGACAGACAAACCCAGATTAATATCCCCCGTTGCAGTGAAAGCGGGGGAATAATAAACTATATAATGAATATATATGAATACATAGATTGATAGATACATATTAGGCATGTTGTACATTGAACTACTACTCATTTGAAATCATGTCAGCTCATCTATTACATGTTCACTGAGGCAAGTTTTAAGACACCACGGACAAAATCCATCCCCATGAGAGTTGGGGTGAGAAATCGTGCCGGGTAAGTAAGGTTTTGCACGATTTCTCACCCGGGTGAGAGATCTTGCAGGGGTGAGAAATCGTGTTGCAGACGCAGCACTTTTAGCACGATGTCTCACCCGGGTGAGAAATCGTGTCTTGGTGAGAAATTGTGCCGTTACACAATTATCTTACACGATAATACTGAAGTCTAACATTGTTGTACAATGTGTAAATTTAAAGCGAATACCGAATGAATTTACTTTTGCTGACGTTAACAGTTTTGCTGACCAGATACGTTTTAAACAGATACGTTGTAAATGGTTCTATAATCGTAGCTTCTAACAAAGACACTCTAGATTCTAGTTTGTTTCGTGGGATTTTCATGGGAACAATGGAATAAGGCGTTTTACAAACTGTGCTTTCATCAGCTGGCTTAGTTTTCAAGGGGAATATCTTCGAATCTTAGGATATCCAAAGACATGAATGCATATATAATAAATGTTTATTTGCGTACGTTATTGTAGATGTTCAAATAAATTTAACTACTATAAATGGATTTAAAGGATTAATTAGTGAAAAGCTATGAAAGAAAAGGGTGGGATATGTGAGGATAATGAATTTCATCACTTGGAAAATATGTAACGTATATGTTCTCTTTGGTCACGTTTCTGTTTTGGTGCATTATTTTCCCAGACAAAATCGACTTGGTTATGTGAACATTTGAGATAGGTGCATATATTTCACAATGTGTAAATTTAAAGCGAATACCGAATGAATTTACTTTTGCTGACGTTAACAGTTTTGCTGACCAGATACGTTTTAAACAGATACGTTGTAAATGGTTCTATAATCGTAGCTTCTAACAAAGACACTCTAGATTTTAGTTTTGTTTCGTGGGATTTCCATGGGAACAATGTAATAAGGCGTTTTACAAACTGTACTTTCATCAGCTGGCTTAGTTTTCAAGGGGAATATCTTCGAATCTTAGGATATCCAAAGACATGAATGCATATATAATAAAGGTTTATTTGCGTACGTTATTGTAGATGTTCAAATAAATTTAACTACTATAAATGGATTGAAAGGATTAATTAGTGAAAAGCTATGAAAGAAAAGGATGGGATATGTGAGGATAATGAACTTCATCACTTGGAAAATATGTAACGTATATGTTCTCTTTGGTCACGTTTCTGTTTTGGTGCATTATTTTCCCAGACAAAATCGACTTGGTTATGTGAACATTTGAGATAGGTGCATATATTTCATCACAAGTGATCATTACATCGATTTAAATTTTGTTTTAGTGATAATGTCAAGTAGCACGAGATTAACACTTGACTAATGCAATGTGAAACGTACATGTAGGAATGGTAACGTATCTGTTTAAGTTTTTAATGAGAGTAGCGATTGAAAACAAGTGACATGTACGTACGCTAGCGTACAAACGTTTTGTAATTGCGTCTGGAACTTTTTCGAAGTTGTTTTCAATATTAAAGTTTGTTATAAAGCTACTTGTTCAAATTATGTGAACAGATACGTTATAAGAACAAATTATATCCTTGTTTTAATGCATAATAATTTGTTTCTTCTCAAATATAGTTTACATTAATAGTTGTTAATCAAAATAAGTACAAATAACAAACCATTTCGATTGAAGATGCTATAAAATTTGATTTGTATCTCTGGCTGGTAAGGTAACATATACGTAACAATATGATACTCAACTTAAAAGAGATACAGGCAAGGTAGTATCTTTGTTGTGTTGCTGAAGAACGAATGTTTTGTACAGTAGATATGCACTAGTGGATGATGATTTTTTTTTTTTAAACTAAACCAATGAAAAATTCTAAGAATGAAATAAATATTATGAAAAGTTCTTTTTACACAACCAATACAATTTTCAATGTGACGTTTCGCTGACTAGTACGATATGTACACTGTCACCTTCATCAGAAAAATGACCAGTGAAGCGTATGCACACAAAGGTGTAAAATGTGTACGAGTTGTCCACAAAATCGATGTCGATTTCGGCTACACTGTATGTACAATAGTTGTTATATATGTACTGTAATGACTCGATTCAGCTATGCTTTGTTGAATATTGTGAAATAAATATTGTTTTTGAATACATCGGTTTTGAATTATTTCCGTTCGAGACCAAATGCATATTTTCATATACGATCAGAAAAACGTGTTAGCATTTGTTGCAGAAATGTCTGTTTTTATGACACAGTCTATCTTGGATTCGCGAATATGATTAATTTGAAAAAGAAAAACATTTTGTTTTGAAGAAGTACTGGATCACGTCTGGGTTGAACACTTCTGTTTTCAAAACTGGTGAATAGTCAAAACGCTTTCGGTTAATTATCCAACACATGTTACTCTTTTGAGAAAAGATAACAAAATGTTCACAATGCAAAGTCCATTTCCCACTTTTACTGTATATGTACTGGCGCACGATAAGTGAAAATGAACGAATAGCAAATCTACATGCGAACAGATTATACAGAGTTACAATATCAAACACATAGTTCTAAAGCACACCAAGTGTTGTACCCGGGCCTTCCTGGCCCATCCGACCGAGGCCTTCCCTGGCCTCTCTTACGACAAGCTAACTTAACATTTATTCAAGAAGCAATGTCAATCCTATATCTCATATAACATATAATATATCTCATATAGTATATCAGATAGCTTATATATCATATAAGATATCTTATATACGATATAGGATATCTTATATTCGATATAGGATAGCTTATATATTATATGAGATACCCGATATAGTTGGCTTATACAAGTATATAAGATATTGTATATATTATTTAAGATATCGTATATCGTATATAACATCTCATTTAATTTTCTATATGATATATCTTACATAAAATATGAGATATCTCATATAATATATATAATTGAAATCTCGTTGCTATATAAAATGAGATTTCATGGCATTAAAAACCAGAAACTAAATTCAACTTCGAGAATCATTCGGAGCACATCAAGGATTTGGCCTTTTCCAGCACTCTTGGATGGACTGAGACATAATGGTGACAGGATCACATGTTGCCATCTCATTCCTATCTCTATGTCATCTTTGACTGACCTGGTCGCCACTAGATGGATAGCTCTTTGTCCCTTTCTTAAATTCCACAGTCGGGGACAATCAATGCACGGTGTAACTTAAATCGTAAGGTTTGACCTCAAATGTACTGTCTTACATGCTATAAGATGGACCTATTCTTTATTATCAATTACCTAATAATTGGTCTATTTTGTTACTCCTCTTTGTGTATATATTGTCATTGTTTACCACAATTGTAAGTAATTCTGTTATACTAAAGGTTGCAATTTCACATAAGCTTTTATTCAGCGATGTATGATATGTAGATATAAATATTTTAATGTTATCATGTGTTGTGTGGTTATGTTTCTGGTTCCATGACATCACGGTAGTTCTTAGCGATAAGACATCAGGTTATGCTGAGACTATCGCTTTTCCGGTGTTGGCACCATCGAACAATCCGACGAAGGCCTTAGGCATATTCTCAAACCCTTCGTATATCGTCTCTTTGTACTTGATTTTGCCCTTAAGAGAGAAAAGATCATGAACGTTTATAAATTCTATGTAGATTGTGGATTTATTGACGCAAAAATAATATATTTAAATACATTTCAGAATTATAATCAATAGTTTACGTGACAGTAGACCAAATTAGATGTGATATTGTCAACGATTAAACAAATAATTGGAAAACAAATATTCTTGGTACAACTTAAGTAACATGAGGTAAAGTTCTGTAGTTCATTAAGAGAACTGACACTTTCCTTGCTGACAAAATGGTATTTAACATCACGCAGCATGCGACGATTACTTAGATATTAGTTATTAGTTAATAAGGCATCCTCGATAGTCCAAGGTGTTACGCTTACTTACGCTCTCTGCACCCCTGGAATATGTCATAGCAAAATCGATGGCACATAGCTAGTATATTTATTTGGTCTCAGGTAAAACAACATGGCCAATCAATTGGCTTATACCTGTCCTTTGAGGATTAAAGAAGAGCGACACTCGGCTTTTTTTACTGTTACGCTTGATAAAAATCAAAGGATCAGACTATTCTTCTTCGTCTCATCCCCAAGGTTCTATGATATATTCCAGAGGTTCAGAGAGCGTACATAAACGTAACCCCTGGAATGTCGATGATATTAATCAGGATGATTTCCTCAAATAGCACGTTGGAAATCTTTAGTACTTTGGTTACATAAGTTATAATTATGAAGACTGTGGCTTTTCTCTCAGACAGAAAGTGATCAAATTTTTAGTAAGCATTAAATAGTCAGGATAACTGTTTCTGACTTTAGACACAATGTCATTAATGTTATGACCACTCTCTATTACTTCAGCCAACAAGTTGTCGAAGGTTTGTTGCATTTACCTCCTTGATCCACTGTGCCATTGCCCTTTCTCCATGCGCAAATCTTGGATACCACCTGGTCACAAGGAATCCCTCAACCATAAGCTGTTTGCTAAGGATAAGCATGAAAGGGTATTCACCTAGAAAATGCCAAAACATCCTTAAGCATAATAATATGGTGAAAACACGATAGTAAGGTATAACGACTTTGATGTTGCTTAAAACAGGATTTGAGGGTTCCGGGTAACCATGTATAAACATATTATAACACAGAACTACGACCAAGGGTATCAATGTAGTAGCTACAATCTAGAAGAAGAGTTCCACCCCAGAGCTGTTTTGTTTAAATGACTGCATACATTTACATATGACATATACCTGTTGGAGGCAGCTTGTCGTTGTACGAGGATATCTGTCCACAGATGGACACTCGGCCGAACTGCTTCATGTGTTTCAGTGCTGTAGCGGCGAAATCTGCTCCTACCTACAACGCAATTAGAACACAAGGCATTGCATCGCTTCAGCCTGTAGCTATTCCTATGCAACAACGAAGTCCGCACCTTGATAGTGAAATCTGCTCTTCTTACAACACAATGATTTACCATGAGAGCAAGAATGTAAATATGTTGTATTACCATGTACCCTACCACAATAGAGAAAATTGTTCATATTTAGCAATTTTGGACATTTGTTGAGGTCTATAATTGGCTATACGAACCATATGACCACAAATTCACTTCAATAAATGTCCTTAGTTGTTGCATAATGTGTTAAATAATGTTTTGATCATCAAATAACATGGAAGGTATGCAAATTGAAAGGTGGAAAGTCCTGCGTTTGGCAGAGAGCATTGCGTCGTTTTAATTGAAATGACATCATGAAGTGAATATTTGACCTGCTTTTTCTAAAAATAATAACGCCAAGTTAGCATCATAAAGCGCCGATATCCAATTAATTATGATCCAACTAAAGCCCCAGTCACACTGTCGCGGTAATCCCCGGATGTTCCTGGTTCTATAAACCGTGGCAAACCGTGGTCATCTTTTCAAGTTTTGCCTGAACGGCGCTGTTAGGGTATTACTACTGTAAATCAAAGTGTCACTACGATTACACTAGAGTAGATGCCGACAGTTCTCTGACACAACTACGGACCACCACGATAGGCAACGATACGTCCAGGTTCTACTACGGTATCATCAATGATTATCCAGATAAGACTACGGTTTGTCCCAGGTTTCCAAGGTTATGCTACGGTCAACCAAGGTGGCGGTACGTCATCCCCGGTTCCGTCACGGTGTCACTGCGGTAACGCTACGGTTTTTCATGTGATGTCCCAGTGGATATACATTGGGACAAAATGTCTAACTCAAAGTCAGTTTTCTTTACCTGACCAAATAAGGAGCAAGTCTCAAACTACTTGAAGAACCGTATTGTTCTTTGTTGCTAAATAACTTGGACCATTACCATGTAGTATGTAAGTTGGTGCATGTCCAATTCTAGAAGCCAGTTAATCAGCTGAAGTTTGTTTCTGTGGTTGTTAACGACAACGTCTATGATTGGGCCCTTTCCAAGACAGGAGTACAACGTGAGTTGTCCCAATTTATAGCACCCTGACTAGGAACCGTAACTGCTGTACAGAAAACGTAGTACCACCGTAATATTGACGCAGTGTAACCGTGTCACACCTTGGAAATCCTGGAGCAAATGTGAATCGCCGTAGTCACCTTAATGAAATAGTAGTAGAAACGGCACATCCCGTGTTATTTCAAGTCATTCAGTAAATCACCTAGACTCTTTCAACCAGACGCTTGACCACTTGTAATTCAAGAGACTCTCTGTTCGGCGTAGTTAGCGCAGACAACAAGAGTCTGGTTGAACGAGACTATGAGACTATGAGTCACCGTGACTTCCGAACACTATACGGTCACCCACGGTGGCTACGGAAGCTTGCACGGCGGTTCTACGGCGGTCCTACGAAAAGGCCGGTGTGTTACTACGGTGACAACACGGTTTTCAAAATACCGTGCCTCAACACGGATTACTCCGGCTTTAATACGGACTCGCTACGGACACCCAGGGTTGTCCCCGGTTTGCACCACCGTAGCCCACCGGGGCTATATACCGGCAGAGTGTGCCAGGGGCTTTAATGAATGCAGGAAAAGATTTGGCATCTAATATATATTTAATACAAATATCAAACATGATGATATATGTATCACTATTTCCAAAACACTGAAATATGGTTTTATTTTTATAAAACAAAATGAACATGGCATTTGTTGTAATTGAACAGTGGCGACTAATCGTTGATTTTAAAGAATCAATCCTTATGCTCAATATCATTTCACTTACACGCATGAACATTAATATTGAGACGAGAGCACTGTGCAAAAGAAAAATACCTTCAGATGAAGGCACTGCGACGATTAATTTCGATGTGGACACAGCCTGACTGCAATAATTTAAATAAACGCTGACCCGTGATAAATACTATCTACGGGTCCAATTCACGTTATCCTCATATCCAGGAATTCAAATCGCGCCTCACCTCAAACATGTTTGGCAAAAAACAACACTGAAATGTATTGCCAAGAAGTGTGTAATTTGAACCTATTGACGTTATTATAAAACACAATGCTATAAATTCTCATGAAAATACTCAAAAAACCTTAGAAACATTGCTTACTCACATTGTCGAAAAAACAATCGAAACCATCTGGGGCGGCCGCTTTTAAAGCCTCGGATAGATCAACCTTCTTGTAGTTAAAAACCTCATCAAAACCTAACTCCTTCAGCCATTTGCATTTGTCGTCAGTTCCGGCACATCCCACCACTTTGCAACCCTGTTGATCAAGAAGCACATTTTTGACGATTAGGTTTCATCTGTCCATCTTGCTCTCCAGATAAAGATATGCACTTTGTTTTACAAGAAGATTGCCCCACTGCATCCCTCTCAAGTGAAACATGATTTAGACAATGATGCAACACCCTGCCAACTATTACAACTATTATACAAATCGCCTTTCCGACAAAGAGGTAAAATCCCGCCACTGTGTATCTGTATTAAACAAAAAACATTCTTGTAGTTTTAGATTTCATTACAACTCCATTAGTTATTTTTATTTGTTGTAAGTTCCGGCATACACACTTCTGTTAAAAATGCATTGATGTTTTGAAAGACATTTTGAACAGGAAATAAGCATCTTCCCGTGTTGCACCGCTTTTCTACTGTATACGGACTTTGAGTGTTTTCTTGAAGGAATAGATTTGTTCCGTAAGTAGTATTTTGCTTTATTTACAGAACACATAACAAACAATGTAAGATAAATTCTGAGAATTTATTAACAAGTCTGCAGATAAGGGGTGCTTGTCACCTTTAGCAATACCTCCCTTGGACCTTATGGAGAATATCCCAAAAGCTATTGACCCCATAGTGCTAAGAGCAGAGTGCTGAAAAGCCAACAATCCGTCTTGAACATGACTTGGACGACTAACTGACCTGAGGCTAATGGAAATTTATACAGTAGTCAGACCGCTTAAATGTCCGGAAGTCGGCAAGAGCTGAGAGTCACATCACTTAGGCCTGGAGTTCAACTGACTGTCTTAACATGTGCCATATAGAGTTGATGCATACAGTCCAGCTCACCCTAGGTCCTGGAGTTGGATTGACTGATTTGGGGTGTATAGTAGCAGACTGGCAACATTAATAATCCATGTTACATGTTACTACATGATGGCAGTTTACTGCCAAAGGCCCAGATAGTGAATAGTGAAGCTGTTTTAGTTGCCGAGGGTCAACAAAAGGAGGAATGTTACAGTGACAGGCAATCAATAAGCATAAAGTTGGTGGTAGGGGGAACGATGGTATACTGTATGGCTTGACCATCGGAAACGACTGGGCAGCTGGCTAGAACTGTCATGTGGCCATGCTAGGTCCTAGGATCGGATCTTCTTCTCGTTTCCTTATCAGTAAGGAACCAATACCCAATATATCACATGTAAATTAGGCAAAGAATGGAGACCCTCAGTTTACTGTGTTGCTGTCAGAACAGGGAGGTTATGGGAGGTCGGAATGCCCTGCTCGCTGGGCTTAGAGATACGAATAATCTTGACCCCTGTATTACTGATTGGTTGGATGCATGTTTCTTCTTTGACCGGCACTTAGGGGAGAGGTCATGTGATAAGACCGTTTTTACTCCAGATTGCCATGTTAATTCATGTTGACCCCTTCTATGCTGTGCCTAATATTTTATATTAGACTTCAATTTAAAGGCCAAATAATCAGAACTTTTAAAAACCGGAACCATTATTTGTAGAAGATACAACGCGGACTGTTTACCTTAAATAAAAGAGATAACAGTTGCAGTATCCCAAACTCACACCTGTTAGAAAGAATAAATACCGCCAGTTTATACCACTGTTAAACCAAACACGTTTCAAACAATGTGTCATCAACCTGCGTTAAATAAAACATATTTCAGACAATATCGTAACATCCCGCTTCCTTGCTTAATAAGGTTGTAATACACACTGTTCAACAAAATACAGTCCAGAAAATGTATCTCTAACCCTAGCGACTCTTATAAACAAGAAACGCTTTTCAAAGAGCAAGGAAGCGTCTTTGACAAAAGAGGAATTGTGTACGATCTTTTTCACGCATAGCCATCCTAGAAAAGGGGGAAATATGCATGTTAAGAAAGAATAGCATGCCTTTATTTTGGCGATTTGTCCGACAAGACTACCGACTGCCCCGGCAGCACCATTAACAAGCACTACGTCTCCTTCTTTTGGCTGGCAAATAACCAGAAAACCAAAATAAGCCGTCATTCTGAAATGGACAATTACATGTGTACAAAATTATACTGTTGAATTTCTTTATCAAGAGCTAGTCATGTCAAAATATAATTCCAGCTTGCCGAACCCTACTGTATTAAATCAGAATTACTCATTGGAATTCAAAGAACGTCAAAACTTACAATGTCAAAGTTCTAAACTGAAGACGTGCTCCTTCAGTCGGTGTATAGTAAACACGACTTATAGCCAGATGCAATAATGCTTCGACCGTGAACAGATACCATGTCGAAAATAGTTTCACCAATTCCAATTAATATACTGTGCTCGTCCAACGCGCTTGATGAATAAAGCAACTGACTTATAGTAACGCTTTTAGATGTGTAACACGAGTATTTGTGTGCATAGAAACACTTACCCTGTTAATCCCATGGCACCGAGGGCTAAAGATATATGCAGATCACCAAGTTCTGGCATGCGAACTAGCCTAGGCCTCTATTGCAAAACACAAAATATACAGAAAGGTAATGAACTCATCCAAAAATGATAGCGTAGGTTACGTTAAGGAAAGTGGGGATACTGACATATAATAAGGGCATGACAAAATTGATACGACCATGACAATTGACATCGCAATAATTTGTCTTATGCAGAATTTATCCAGAAACATGTAAGAATCGCACTCGACCCTGTTACGTGTAGTTCCGGATATCCGGAAGATATGACAGATTAACATTAGAGATGTAAGATATTCATCAGATAAAAGTGTCAGATATGGTTTTGAAGATATATCTTTCCGCTTTAATTAATGTTATAATTTACCGGGATCGACTGCTATCTATTGATACTACATCAGGTCGAATAGGATAATCTTTTATTTCGTTTCTGGACGTGTTCATAACCTTATATATTAGCCAATGGCTACTGTATCTCCCCCTTACTATCTTTTTCTGTCGCGATACGTACATGTGTTGTCATCCGATTTGCCAGATCATTTGACAGAAGTGTGTGGGTACGCCATCCTGCAAACACTCTAACGATGCTTCCTACTGGATGGCAGGAGTTTTTACTGCCGATCACCCTAAAATAAGCACCAGGAGTTATACATAGAATTTCATTTTTTGGTTTGCTTATGTCTCTGTCTTCTGTTACAGTATCCTTCTCACGGCTTAACTGTAACAGGAAAAAGCGAAATGTATCGCAAGACTGGAATTCGAGCCCGGGACCCTTCGAACTCTATTCGGACGCTCTATCAATTGAAGTACCTGGTCGACGATGATCGACCCTGTCCAGTTCCGTACAATAAATATATCAGTACGGAGAAAAATAAACATAAACTTAAACAATGCGGAATGAGCTAAACATAATTCATGTAAAATGGAATAAACAATTAAAATCCTGTCAATACGGAGTGAACTAAGCTGTTATCGCTGAATTGTCAGTGCTTGAATTAAATCAACAAACAACAGCACATCCCGCATTGCAAACATGCTCCGCGTGGGCTGTCAATTAGAAAAGTAACAATAACAACCTTTCCAGCTTTGGAAGATTATTTTTCTTTATAATCCTTTGCATGATAAACAAAGCAACAGTCAATAGAAAGGTGTTTTACTGTGAAAGGTGTGTCATGCCTTATGAAGAATCTTCTGAAATAATCATAAAAGGAAGTCAATACCTTTAAAGAGTATTTCATCAATCTTAATGACTGTCGGTTATCGCATAGAATCTATGATGGAACAAAAATGTTTGTTTGTTTGTTTGATTTTGTTTAACGTCCTATTAACAGCTAAGGTCATNAAGGTTTGGACTTACCTTGATATCTGTTCCCCCATCATGCCTTGTCCCGGCTCAAGTCCCCCAAACTCCATTGTCCTTCGGATAACAAGGTTCAATAAAATGTTAACATGTGTGAGTCTGAGGTTTTTGGCTTGAAATTTTTAAGCGTGTTGCGAGATGATTCATTTTAATTTCCCGTATACATCAATGTTTGTCTAGTAACATATGTCATATAGCAGATACAATGTAGTTTATTGTTTACACTGATATATTGTTGTTTCATTTTACATGGGGGAAGTATTCCTGAATGAAGGAAAATTCGTTTAGAATTTCTTTGTCTAAAAGGTAAAACATAAGTTATGGAACATTGATGAAACTGTTCAGCCTATTGGGTATCAGTACGTAGATATATTTTCGACTGTTTCTCTAGCTGTTGTTAGCTCCTTTATCACAACTGCATAATTTCTACGTAGTTTTTTTATGTCTGATCTTTCCAAGTTATAATGAGGTTTTCATTTTAATTGATTTTGAGCTGACTCTGGTTGGCTGAAACAACATCATGTGACCACCTGTAAAAGTAGTTATAAACCTGAGTGGTTTGCAGATGTTCAAAAAAGTTGACCTGCTATAAATAGATTCTGAAACTGGTGTTCAGAAAAGTTGGTAGAAACAGTGTTATTGACCTGCTATAAATAGATTCTGGAATTTTTGTGTTGATCAATGATTATTGCAGATATTTTAACGATTATTGCAGATATTTAATTATTTTATTTTTATTTTTCTGATACTTTTGTTTAATTGATTTTAAAATTTGTGACTAAAAAAGGGGGGGGGGGAATGTAAAACTATATCTTTTACATTTTTTTCTTCAATTTTGAAAAAATCAATTAAAATAATAAAACTATTGTAGCATGGTGATTCGGTCGATACATGGTTTTATCGACCTCATCACCATGCTATAATTGTATAATATTGTCATTGCTAATGTCAACAAACCAATTGGTTCATGTCACGAAAATGTTAGAAAAAAAACCTGAATTCTTAACATAAAAAAGCGATTGTTATAACTTTTAGGAACATGTTGGCCAATTTGCCAATTCAGATTCCCCCTTTTTGAAAATAGGTGTCACATGGNTCAATCAGAAATTCTGAAAAAAATGAATCAACATTACTGCGGCATATAATTGTTATATCTAAAGTATACATTGTAAAAATGTTCTATTACTGAATAATGCTGAAATGGAATGCCTCACTACAAAGAGAAAATAGATCTCTATAAGTGTGCTTTGTGCTTTCGTTGTCACTGTCCCTTTTACTCTTATTTTGAGGACGTGGCATTACTTTGATTTGACCTCGATTTACCTTCCGGGGTGACGTAAAACACGCTTACTATTCTGGGACACCAATTTTATACATCTTATGCTTTATCAGGGGTCTCCGTATACAGCTTTCCTATGCCCATACTTTGCCATAGTTTCATCGACGTTACGCTCGTATCACTGTTTGTTGACACATCGGTATTCTCTTGTTGTTTCTGAAATCTACTGACTGTTTCAAAGACATCTTTAGCAAAATAAGTTCACTACCATTAATAGTATAACGGGTTAGAAAAATTGTGTTGAGTATGTTAAGTATAACTTGAGTTATTCCTTTCTCCTGAAAGGAGGATAAAACGGGAAAGAATTTAAGAACCGACTGCAACGGCTGAACAGAAAGAAGTTTTTGAAACACATTATGACAAAGTATGATCAATCAGAACAGGTACTACTAGTATTAACATTTTATCATCTAATTCCCCAGGTATGTAATGCAAACATCAGTGTACCACAACTAAGCCAGGAATAGGGATGCGTCCAGTAAGCCACCATTTTGTTACCAGATATATGTAGGAAAGACCAGAACTTATTTGGCCCTCTAATGGATTACAAGACCAACTGTGCAAAAAACATTCTTTCTCACGTGACTGTAGAATATATATATATCAGAAGATTGATCCACAAAAGTCTGTGCATGACACGTTGAAAAAAGTCTGAATATGAAACTGTACCAGGTGCCAAGTGTTCTACATGAAGTTTACTACTTTTGTCGTAGTAAATACGATATAACTGACTATGTAAGAGAGACAGAAAGATATGTAAGGAGATTCGACAGGTGTTGGATATTCGACAATCATCTGCGTGATTTCAGGAACAATACTGGAAAACTAATTAATAAGGACTTCAGTAAGGATAATCATTCCGAGAAGGATGTGAAGATATTCATCACGAAATGATCGTTTAGCCCAAGAAAAATACCTGGGACTGCAATCGGTAATAGATATGGGATACACATATTGAATTACACTGCACCATACAGCTATTTTGTCCTTCTAGGCCTCATAGGTGATGCTAGGGACCAAAGCGTTGGAAATCCAAATTAATCTTACTTTATTCGGAAATCGAAGGGGAGGTGCATGAAACCCCTGAATTAAAACCACTTCTGATTCCTATATTACTTGTGTGATACATTTTTTTGTGTCTGCCTTCTATTTAATTGCTTACAGTATACGGTCGCTAGAAACTTATACTTGGTTTATATCAACTCAATTTTTGTTTGTTATTTCATTGGTTTCATTGGCCGTAAAAATGTCAAAAGTTGCATAGTTAACCATAAACATTAATAAATCCCACAATGCAGAGAGGTCAATCCAACGTTATCCGTAGAAGTCTTACACGGGCATGTTTGTTACGGCACGATTTCTCACCCCGACACGATTTCTCACCCATATGAGAAAGCGTTCTAAAAGTTCTGAGTTCGCAACACGATTTCTCACATCTGCACGACTTGTCACCTGGGTGACTTGTTTTATCTTATCTTAACACCTTTGACTTACAATGGTATACAAATATAATTATGTAACATACACAGATTTAATGTATAAGCATGCGTGGTTGTACAGAGGGATACAAGTATCATAGTAATAGAGGTGTACTGCAGTTGCATATATTACATGTAGTCACTAATGATATTCGATGTTAAGTTTCCAAACAAATCTAAATTATGGCCTATCATTTGCTAAGTCATTTCGGGCTATAACAATTTCTGTTCTTATTTATGAACCACAATACAAGTTGTTTAATTGAATATTTTAATCGTGTTCTTGAAGATTGGAAAAATGGCCAATATCTTCCGCAAGATGACTGCTGCAGACTGGCTTCTGATTAGCCGAAATGTATCCATTGTCCAATATCCCTTTGTAAAAGTGTGCAGTGTCATAACAAACACTACTGCGATCTGTGTTGATTTTACTTATTTGACAAAATTTCCGTTTTATGTCGGGTCCTGATTGGTCGACATTTATATTGACCGATGCTATAGATTTGGTATGTAGATGTATTATGTAGGGTTGTCAACGGTTAGCCGGTTAACCGGTTACTCGGGCGAAAGACTACGAACCGGTTACCAAAATCCTTAACCGAAAAGTTGGACATATACTTACCCTTTTTAGGAGCCCCATGTTTCCCTGGCTTGGACCTACACAATATCTGCATTTGTATAGATACGACCAAAATTTAATATTATTTTTTAATAAAAACAGTGTTCAGGGATTACATATTAGTGTTACTTTTGTACTCTAATTTAAATACTGACAAAGAGATGTCGCCAACACCATAAAAACAATCGAACAGATTTTAAAAGGAGCCAGAATACAAAGGTGTGAAATATCAACTTTCTGAGATAGAACGCGCCTTTACATGCGAGATTTAAAGATAATCTGAAGAGTACACACTTGAATGAGCAGGTATGTCTTTAAACGTTTGTCAAGCAAATGTTGTTCTAAAGAATAAGATTACCGCATATGATTTCGTGTACAGATATCTGTAAATAAATCCGTCTAATTGCATTCCGACATACGTTGTCTATGAAATATACTTACAGAGGTTACGTGCAACTATGTCCTGTGTTAACCTTGAAATACACGAGTAAACTATCATGCTAATTAATATATACATGTATGTTTGTGGTGTCAATACGTTTAAGATAGAACATTTACCAAACATATAATGTGTTTGTTGCTGTTTAATATTTGACTACCAAATTGACCGATTAACCGGTTACTCGATCGGTAGAAGAGTAACCGGTTACAAAAATAAGACTGGTTTGACAACCCTAGTATTATGGCATTGTGATCTTTTTCTGATGCATCACTTGCGATTACTGGGTTAGCTTCGGCACCTTATGTTGTAACGGTTCCTGTTACGAGTAGATATTGTTATACTTTATAATAAAAAAAGGAAATGTATGTACCCTTCCACAGCAATGATTTCACATCTACTTTAGTAAGTTCACGTTGTGTAAAACTTCGTGTCCTTTGTTCCTTTTGGCCAAAGAAAGGTGTCCTTTGTTAGATATGACTTGCATATTATTTTATATACGGTATATCTCGCGCAAATTGTCTTTTGAAAACGTCTCTATGTTTAGGATATTCAGTGGAATGAAAAGTATATGAATACTAGATAAATAGATAAATACAGGTACTGCCATCAAAAGAAGTGGTAGTATATGTGTAAGTTTCCTATAATAATAATAAATAATATACAACGTTTATATGTAACGCCCTAAATAATTTGGAAAATTATTCTAAAGCGCTTTACATCATATGGATAATAGTATTATATATAATTAGTTATAATTGTGAATTTGACTTTCTAATAGCAGTTTGTAATCTATTCCACAACGTGCCCGAAACCCTCCCAAAGCACCGGTTTCCATAGGTCACAGTACGAGATTTTGGGACACACAACAATGATTCTGACTCCGACCGCAGTGATCGTGATGGCTGATACAGGGTAACAAGCTCCTGAAAGTACTAGGGAGCTGTTCCATTCAGTGTCTTCCATGTATACACCATAATTTTGCGACCTGTATCATACAGGTAACCAGTGCAATGGATATAGCACATGTGTGATGTGCTCTCTCTTTCGAGTACGAGCAACTAGCCGTGGTGCAGTGTTCTGAACCCTCTGCAGACGACTAGTTAGTTTGTCAGATATACCACAGAGAAGTGCGTTGCCATAATCCAACCGAGAGGTAACAAATGAATGCACCAACATA